TCGTGCCCCGGTCCGGGAAGATCCCACATGCCGTGGAGTGGCTGGGCCCATGAGCCATGGCCGCTGAGCCTATGCGTCCGGAGCCTGTGCTCTGCAACGGGAGAGGCCACAACAGTGAGAGGCCCACGTACCGAAAAAAAAAAAAAAGAACATGGGGAAAAGCTGTGTAGGCGGGTGGAAGGGGGTGGAAGGGGGTGGTAGGCTAATAGGTCTTTCTGGCCCCTCAGTTTGAGTATTCAGGCATTTCAGGCACATTGTCCTAAGGCTTTTGCAGTTTACGCACCAGTGCTGTTTCTCAGAATAAATACATTAGTTATTTCATTTATGAAGCTCATTTTCTGCATGAGGATACACAATAGTACTACATCCTATGAGGACTATTTTGATTTCCCTCTTATGTCAGATATTCTTTTTCTTTATCAGTGGCAGTAAGGCAATGGTGACTCTGTATGATAAGACACTGAGGCAATTCACAATAGAATGAGGTATAACTAGCAAACGTGCATAAGGAAACGTGTTCAACCTTACAAATGTTCAGGTACACAAAGAGATGCACACTAACCAATAAAATACCTATTAAAAGTGCAAAAATATTGAAAATGATGATCTCCCCCAATGCTGAATGGGGCTCACTGTCAGCAATTGTGTAAATATGCACAACTCGTCTGGAAAGGAATTTGGCAATGTTTCAAAAGTCATAAGAAACCTACACAATTTACCTCAGGAATTATATTCCTTTGAACATAATTCAAAAGAATGAAAAAGCTCTATGCTTAAGGATGCTCACTGCACTATTGGTGAAAAATCTGAAATGCTTACCAGTATAGGGAGTGGAGGTCATTATATAAATTATGGTATAGGAACTCAATGGAGTAATATACAGACCTTAGGACTCCAGGCGATGTGGTTATTACAACAAGCAAAATAACAAATTGAATGTACTTTATGGTTGCAGTTAAGTTCATAAAGGGACCAAGACCAGGAGGAAAGATGGAAAAGTGAAAATAGTTAACTTGTTAAGATGGTGGACTAGTGGGTGATTTCTCTTTTGTGTTTTATTATTGCATTGTCTGTGCATTTTAAGGACCTTTAAAGTGCTTCCAAAATGACTGCTTAAACAAAAAAACTTCACGCTGCTCATCATGGCTGGCTTACATTTTCCATGCTTCTTCCACAGTGCGTCTCCTCTCAATTATCTCCCTCCGCAGCTTTACCATCTCCCTTTGAATCTCCTCCTCCTCTTTCTTGGCCTCTAGAGCCTTCCTTTTTTTCTCTTCTTTCACCAGATACTGAGCCTCTAAGAAGGCTGATTTTTTCAGGGTCTTTTCAATTCTCTGGCGCTCCAGTTCTTTCTCACGTCTTAAGCGATTTTCTTTTACCTTTAAGAGAATACAACAAGGGTGAAATGCAGCCTTTCAAGTAGAAAGGGATATGCAAAACCTTAGAATATATTTTGAAGTTCAGAATACAACTACTTTGAAACATTTTGGCCCAAAACCCCACTGTTTATCAGAAAAATAGGGGAAATTCATTTGTTTACTGGGTAATGGGCTATACAAAATTTTAAATGAAGTCAGGTGAGATGACTCCAAACAATTTGGGAATGATCGGCACTACAGAAAAGCTGAAAATCCAATGGGTTGGATGCCAAATTCTGGATTCTTATTTAGTAATGATTTTCAATCCATAAGATTTTCCAAGGTGTACATTACTGTTATTTATTTAAGCTCTGTCTGTATGTTAATTATAATTTAAGAAAGAATATTTTGGAGAGGCTACTTTGTGAAGGCTAGAACAGTGATTTACTGCCTTAAAGGAGCATCATGACCTTTTATTCAATTCTATCTTTATTTGAATTTATCACTGATTCTGGATCATATTTGGAAATCAAAACCACAAACTTCACAGATGTTTCTGAATAAGCACAATCATTTTTTTCAAACTCAATTCTTTAGACTAGCTATGAATTAAGGAGTGGTTCTTTCCTTCCTGCTTCATTTAACTTTACCCTTATCTTACTCTTCAGTTATGATAAGACTTCTAGATAATGGCTAACTCTTACCGAACCTTTTCTCTTCCCTTTTATCATAAATCCAAACCAGGATCATGCATCTACTCCAGTTTCTCTCACATCCTTAGTGCTGCTTTGGCATACATTATGGTTTAAAGTAATCAGAAATTCAGTGTTATAAAAAGATAGCATACACACATATAGACATTAATACTACTCTGGTCTTGGTTCTGGACATGTGGAAAAGACTTGGTCTTTCGGACTTCCTTAAGTTCCTCTACAAAGTGTTGAGATGAATCTTTTTCCTATAACCTACTATTCACTTTGGAGAAAAGAAAGTTCCCATACGTCTTTCTAATTCAAAACAGCTGAACTAGATTTAATTCAGCTCTGTCCTCCCTTTCAAATTATAATCACAAAATAAGTGAATTTTCCCACTGTCTAGAAAAGAATTATCATTATAACATTCACCAGAATATTCATGATATTAATATCTTGATCTCACAATACAAAAACCAAATTCAAGCAAAACCCAATCTACATATTTATAATAGGAAGTATCATATCCAAACTAATAAAGTTTAGCTCACCACTCTCATGGTCAAAATCAGTTATTCCTCTTTTTGGTTTTCTTAAACAAATTGTTTCCTATCCTCAGCTTATGAGCATTATTTTTCTTCTGAAGTTCTTATATTTTATTTTTATTCTTTCTAACCAAACCACAGATGGCACCCTTTTTCACAATAAAGCCTAAGTCTTTATTTAAGCTTATTAAATGTGTTACACAAAAATTGCTTCCTGTTATCCATTTTAATTTTGCTTTTCCCTCCCACCTGCTTATGTCTCATCTCCATGGTAAGATGAGGATCCTTCTGCCACTTCTTGTCTTGGTTTTCATTCATTCCAAGATCTTCCAATATCCCAGAATCTACCACGTCTTTATGGAGCAGATGGTCTATGAATTTTTGAAAGGTGGTACTTTCGTCTTCTTCCTCCAAATAACCACATAAATCTGGGGGAAACATAACAACAACAAAGAAGGAAAAAATTTTTAATTTTTTTAAAATTTAATTTTAGTACAATTTCCATATTTATGTAAATAATCCTGGTACAATAAAAATACAAAGCTGTGTGTTCGATAAATAGTAACTGATAATGCCAAATGGATGAATACAGCCCTCAGCAATTACCTTCAACTAAGAGGAAAAATCCTCCACTCATGAGGAATTGCCCTCACCCAAGTCACTAACTCCCTCACTGCCAAATTTAAAAGCTATTACTTTTTCATTTATGTTACAAGGATCTAAACATCCTTGAGGACTCCACTGCTCTTTTTAAAAAAGGCTTTACTGTGGTATAATTGACATATAATAAACTTGTAAATATTTAAAGTCTGCAATAAGCTTTGACATATATAGATACCAGTAAACATCATTACAATCAAGATAATGAATGTGTCTGTCAGCTGCAAAAGGGTCCTCATGCAGATTTGCAATCTCTTCCTCTCACTCCTCTCCATGCTCTCTGCCCTATCCCAGGCAACCCAGACCTGCTTTCTGCTAATAGATTAGTTTAAATTTTCCAGAATTTGGTATCAATTAAATCATATACTATGTACTCTTTCTGGTTGTCCTTCTTTTACTCAGCATAATTATTTTGAGATTCATTCATGTTGTTGTATCAATAGTTTATCCCTTTTTATTGCTGAGTAGTATTCCACTGTATGGGCATACCACAATTTGTTCATTCATTCATCTGGGGATAAACATTTGGGTTGCTTCCAGATTTTGGCTATTACAAATAAAGTTGTTAGGAACATTTGTGTACAAGTCTTTGTATGAACATTTGCTTTCTTTTCTCTTGGGAAAATGCCTAGGACTGGAATGGTTGGATCACATAAGTACGTGTTTAACTTTTTAAGAAACTGTCAAGCTGTTTTCCAAAGTGGTTATACAATTTCACATTCTCACCAGCAGTGTAGGAGGGTTCCAGTTCCTCCATATTCTTACCAAAACTTGGTATGATCAGTCTTTCAATTTAAGCCATTATAATAGGTGCATAGTGGTTACTCATGGTAGTTTTAATTTGCTTTTTCCTAATGACTAGCAATATTGAATATCGTTCTTGATGATGTTCTATTTAGTTCCATACATTATTGAAAATGGGGTACTGAAGTCTCCAACTGTTATTGCTGAATTATCTATTTCTCCCTTCAATTTTGTCAGTTTATGCTTCACATATTTTGGGGCTCTTTTGTTAGGTGCATATATGTTTACACTTGTTATGTTTTCTTGATGGATTGACCCTTTTATTATTATAGAATGCCCTTCTTTGTCTTGAGTAACAATTTTTTATCTTAGAGCCTATTTTTTCTGAGATTAGTAAGCTGCTCTCTCTCTTTTGGTTACTGTTTGCATAGTACATCTTTTCCCATCCTTTTATTTTCAAGCTGTTTGTGACTTTGACTCTAGACTGTGTCTCCTGGGACAACATATAGTTAGGTCATATTTTTAAGTTCATTCTGCCAGTCTCCATCTTTTGATTGGAATGTTTAATCCATTTACATGTAATGTAATTCTTGATAAGGCAGGATTTACGCTTGTCATTTTGGTATTTGTTTTCTACATGTCTCATGTAAATGCCCCTTTCAGGATGAAAAATTTACCTTTTATTACTAGTTTGCTGAGAGTTTTAATCAGGAATTAATTTTGTCAAGTATTTTTCCTGTACCTATTGAGATAATCATATGTTAGTTAATAATTTTTTTAAATAAATGTATGTATGTATGTATTTATTTATTTTTGGCTGTGTTGGGTCTTCATTGCTACACGCAGGCTTTCTCTAGTTGCGGTGAGCAGGGGCTACTCTTTGTTGTGGTGGCTTCTCTTGTTGCAGAGCATGGGCTCTAGGCATGTGGTCCTCAGTAGCTGTGGCATGCAGGCTCAGTAGTTGCGGCGCACGAGCTTAGTTGCTCCACGGCATGTGGGATCTTCCTGGACTAGGGCTCGAACCCATGTCCCCTGCA